ATCTGACCAAATTATGAAAGACAAGGGTTGTAATTTTGAATTCCGTAAAGTGAGGGTGGAAGAGATGATAATAAATATTGTTGTTTATCAACAATGACAAGCCACAAGGGTCTGACAACTTGGATGGAGAATTACTGAGGATAATAGCGGACGATATTGCCACTCCTATTTGCCATAACTTCAATCTAAGTCTACTAGAAAGTGTGTGCCCCCAGGCCTGGAGGGAAGCAAAAGTCATTCCGCTACCCAAGAATAGTAAAGCCCCCTTTACTGGCTCAAATAACCGACCAATCAGCCTGTTACCAACCCTTAGTAATCATTTTTGAAAAAATTGTGTTTGTCCAGATACAATGCAATTTTACAGTAAACAAATTGACAGCAGACTTTCAGCATGCTTATAGGGAAGGACATTCAACAAGCACAGCACTTACACAAATGACTGTTTGGCTGAGAGAAATTGATGATAAAAAGATTGTGGGAGTTGTTTTGTTAGACTTCAGTGCGGTTTTTGACATTATCGATCATAGTCTGCTGATGGAAATACATATGTGTTATGGCTTTACACCCCCTGCTATAATGTGGATAAAGAGTTTCCTGTTTAACAGAACACAGAGAGTGTTCTTTAATGGAAGCTTCTCCCACATAATCCAGGTAGAATCAGGAATTCCCCAGGGCAGCTGTCTAGGCTCCTTAGTTTTTTCAATTTTTACTAATGACATGCCACTTGCTTTGAGTAAAGCCAGTGTGTCTATGTATGCGGATGACTCAACACTATACACATCAGCTACTACAGCAACTGAAATAACTGCAACACTTAACAAAGAGCTGCAGTTAGTTTTTGAATGGGTGGCAAGGAATAAGTTAGTCCTAAATATTTCAAAAACTAAAAGCTTTGTATTTGGGACAAATCATTCACTAAACCCTAAACCTCAACTAAATATTGTAATGAATAATGTGGAAATTTAGCAAGTTGAGGAGACTAAACTGCTTGGAGTAACCCTGGATTGTAAACTGTCATGGTGAAAACATGTTGATACAACAGTAGCTAAGATGGGGAGAAGTCTGTCCATGATAAAGCGCTGCTCTGCCTTCTTAACAACAATATCAACAAGGCAGGTCCTACAGGCCCTAGTTTTGTCACACCTAGACTACTGTTCAGTAGTGTGGTCAGGTGCCACAAAGAGGGACTTAGGAAAATTACAATTGGCTCAGAACAGGGCAGCACGGCTGGCCCTTAAATGTACACGGGGAGCTAACATTAATAATATGCATGTCAATCTCTCATGGCTCAAAGCGGAGGAAAGATTGACTTCAGCACTACTTGTTTTTGTAAGAAGTGTTGACAAGCTGAATGCACCGAGCTGTCTGTTTAAACTACTAGCACACAGCTCGGACACCCATGCATACCCCACAAGACATGCCACCAGAGGTCTCTTCACAATCCCCAAGTCCAGAACAGACTATGGGAGGTGCACAGTACTATATAGAGCCATGACTACATTGAACTCTATTCCACATCAGGTAACTGATGTAAGAAGTAGAATCAGATTTTCAAAAACCGATAAAAATCCACCTTATGGAACAGCGGGGGACTGTGAAGAGACACACAGGTACAGATACACGCATACGCACACACACTCTACGCACATGTACATTGTAATATTGTTGTATGGTGGTATTATACATGTTGTATTGTAGATATGTAGTGGTGTAATAATGTTATATGATGTACTGTTTTATCTTTTGTTTTATGTGTAATGTAATGTGCCTTAATTTGTTTGGACACCAGGAAGAGTAGCTGCTGCCTTGACAGGAACTAATGGGGATCCATAATAAATATCATTGGACAGGAAAAGGCAAAAGGCTCGCTCACCATAAAAAAAGTATTAGTTTTATTAGACAATTTTTAAAGATTGAAGTTCCCTAATAAATACAAATACAAAACAACCCTAGCAGCTGCTAACAGACTGGGGGGCATAGTATCAGGGTAAGAGGGAGGTTGGACTGACAACACTTTATCAATGAGAACACAGACATTGATTAACTCTAATTTGAATAAACCTTGCAAATCCAGCTATAGGCTTTCACTATTTGATACAGGATTAAATATGGTCACAGGCTAATGTGTGCGTGTGTGTGTGCGTGTGTGTGTTTGTGTGTGAAGTCCGGCTGTGTGACAGTTTCCGGCCTGGCCTGTCAGTCAGGCTCACATCTCTGAAAGCTGTAAGTTCACATCACAGTAATTCCTCCAAAAATGTTTTGAATCAAAGTAGTTTGTATTTTATGTTGCCACGGGCAATGGAAAAAGAGCTATTGCCGATAGTGCGGTGGAGCGCGTGGGCCCAGAGGCGATAGCTCTATTTAAGCAGCGGAGAGTAGCCTCAGGCAGCGGCGGAGCAGTGGCGGGATCACACTCGGAATCAAGCGCCTTTTACAAGTTTGCCACGAAAATTAAAGAAAAAGAGACATGGGCCAAATGTCATTATCCTCCTATTTTAACCACAATGTTTATAGCACCTGTCACAAGACAGCACAGCCCACACAAACCCAGCAGCAGTCTCAGAGAGGGCGCGTGCACGTAGAAGGTGATAGGCTTGATCAGATGCTGAAGGCTTCGCGGGATACTGGTGATTAAAACACAGACAGTGCTCTAAGTAGGAGCCGCGTTTCTGGAGAGATTTCTTTTGAAAAAGGTTGTGTGAATATTCATGGCGCCAAAGCCGCCGTCAGAAAGAACAACATTAATATGATCTCAGCTGAATTCGGGCCGCGCGGCATTAGCATATCAAAGCTGCCGCCCGAGGCGAGAGAAGCTATCGATACGGGAGCGCGAGGTAAAGCAAAGATTATTGGTTGTGATGGTTGGAGCAGAGGAGCTCACGGCTAAATCCTACACACCATTAACCGAAAGTGATAGCGGAGAGATTCCCGCATCAAACCTCCAGAAAACCAAAAAAAACAACACCTAGACAGAGTAGCAGACACACACACACACACACACACACACACACACACACACACACATACACACACACACAAACACATATACACACATACACACACATACACACACACACACACAAACACATATACACACACACATACATACACACATATACACACCTAGGCAGTTTATGAAATATGAACTACTAGACACAGGCTGCTAGCTCGAAAATTACACATGTGTATAGCTCGAGAATAACGGAAGAATAACGCCTTCTTTGCTTCATTCACAGCAACAGAAAGTGATATGGTAAAAATACTATCACATCAACAGAAAGTAATATGGTAAAAATACTATCACATCAACAGAAAGTAATATGGTAAAAATACTATCACAGCAACATAAAGTGATATGGTAAAAATACTATCACATCAACAGAAAGTAATATGGTAAAAATATCGGAAAGCAGTTCACTTTTTGTTGTCTTTTTCGCTCAAGCTAAAATGTTTTTTTTATCTTAATTTTTGTTTTTTTGTTTTTTAATTTATATTTACTTTACTTTACCACACAAACACATGGAAAAGTATTGTGTCAACAGCCTAGTGGATAGAAATCAGCAGGAACAACATTTCAGAGTTCTAATGATCTCTTTCTACACCCTTAGGCCATATTTCATTATACAGTTAATATCCAATTTGGCAAAGATAACAAGTAATAAAAACAGCCATAAGTTTTCACTAATGACTTCAAAACATCCTCCAGTTATTACTGTGAAGCCCAACATAATGAAATGACTTCAAAACATCCTCCAGTTATTACTGTGAAGCCCAACATAATGAAATGACTTCAAAACATCCTCCAGTTATTACTGTGAAGCCCAACATAAAGAAATGACTTCAAAACATCCGTTAGTTATGATTGTGAAGCCCAACATAATGAAATGACCAAAACATCCGTTAGTTATGACTGTGAAGCCCAACATAATGAAATGACCAAAACATCCGTTAGTTATGACTGTGAAGCCCAACATAATGAAATTACCAAATGACTATCATTATAACTGTTTAATTAGGGTTAGGGTTAGGGGTTACTATTATTATCGTTATTATTACTGTAATTATTTGTGTTATTATAACTATTATTATTACTGTTATTAACATTACTCCATTACTGTTCTTATTATTACTAGTGTTATTATTATTACTGTTATTATTACCGTTATTGCTTTTACTCATATTACTATTATTACAACTGTAATTATTACTATTATTACAACTGTAATTATTACTGTTATTACAACTGTAATTATTACTGCTATTACAACTGTAATTATTACTGTTATTACAACTGTAATTATTACTGCTATTACAACTGTAATTATTACTGCTATTACAACTGTAATTATTACTGTTATTACAACTGTAATTATTACTGTTATTACAACTGTAATTATTAATGTTATTACAACTGTAATTATTACTGTTATTACAACTGTAATTATTACTGCTATTACAACTGTAATTATTACTGCTATTACAACTGTAATTATTACTGTTATTACAACTGTAATTATTACTGTTATTACAACTGTAATTATTACTGCTATTACAACTGTAATTATTACTGCTATTACAACTGTAATTATTACTGCTATTACAACTGTAATTATTACTGTTATTACAACTGTAATTATTACTGCTATTACAACTGTAATCATTACTGTTATTACAACTATTATTTTTATGATTACTATAACTATTATTATAACTGTTTTTATTACTGTTATTATTATTATTATTATTACTGTTATTATTATTATTATTATTACTGTTATTGTTGTTGTCATTTTTATTATTGTTAGGAAATATGAATTTTGTTTCTTCTCCTCATTGGTAATCATTTTGATAATAGAGTTGGTTTGAGAATGACAGATCTGAGTGAAAGGATTATACACTCTCTATTCTACAATGGAAAGTGCACTGATAGCGTCAAGCAAACCCGACATTACAGATTTACGCAGAGTAGTAGAATTCTCTGGATTGACCTGACAGGAGAT